GCATTTTCTTTCTGCTGTTCCACAGTGTGAGCCTGCAGATCATGCTCCTTGGCCTTCTTCCTAAGTTCTTCGTTCAGTTCAATAAGTCTCTGCTCTTGTTGATCCAATTTTGTCTGCAAAGCACCCAATTCCGCATTCTTTTCTGAAACTATCGACTGCTGTGCTTCCATTTTATTTGTCAGGTCACTTATAGAACTCTCTAGTTTACACTTGGCTGTTGTGAGGTCATCAACAGTTCCTGTAAGCTCTTCTACTTTGCCCTTGGAAGCCTGTAATTCTTTCAAAATTTCATCATGCATGTGCCTGTTTTGGGTTAGCTGACTCTCTGAATCTCCAATCCTACTAAGTAAATTGTCTTTTTCTATCTGAAGATCACAGCTGACTTGGCGAAATTCTTCACATTCAGTTGCTTTTTCTGCCAGGTTTTGTCCCAACTTCTCTTTCTCCTGCTGCAATGATTCAATGGCCTGTTTCAATAAACCACTCTTAGCTTTCAGGTCCTCTACATTCTGCTTCAGTGAAGCCTCATTCTCTCCCAGAATTTTAACTTGCTCGTTGAGAGATTCCAAATCCTCATCTTTGTTCTCCAAAGAGAAACGTGCCTCTTCAAGCTCTTTAGCTATGCTAGCCTTTTCTGCTTCAACTGCATGGATCTTGGCATTCAATTCAGTAATGGCTGTTGAGGCTTTTGTTTCCTGTGATGACAATGTAATATTCAAATGCGCTACCTGTTCAGTCAGGGTGGCTTTTTCAATTCCAAGCTGTTCTACCTGCTGTGAGTTAAGGTCCATCTGTTCCTTGATAGATTTTTTTTCTTCTGCTAAGCTGCTACATTGTTGCTGTAACTGAGCAAGGCTCTCAGTCATGGCCTTCAACTGCTGAGTGAGTGTTTCTACTTCTTCACACTTCTTTTCAAGTACAGATGTAGCTTCATCCACTTCCTTCTGTAGACCCAACTTCTGTTCTTCCAACTGCTGAACTTTCAACCTGAGGTCTGAGGACATGCTCTGAGATTTTTCCTCCAAAGAAACGAGACTTTCCTTTGCTGTTGTCAGCTGAGACAGTAGGTCCTCCTTCTCACATTTCAGCATTCCATGAGACTCTTCAAAGTCTGCAACCTGCTGCTTGACTTTCTTGTTCTCTTCTTGCAGGTCGTTGCACATTTTCTGTAGCTGTTCCAACTTGTTAGATGAATCTTTAACAAAACTATCATACTGCAACTGGGCATTTTCTAATGCAGTACTCTTTTCGGCCAACTGCCTCTCAAAATCATCAACCTTGCCAGAGCTATTGGCCAACTCTGACTCCAAAGTCTGAATCTTGTTCTGTAGATTGGTCAGGTCACTGTCCATCTTGGTCTTTGCAGCAGCAACATTATCTCTCTCTTCTTCGACTCTTGTCACTGTGGCCTCTGCCTGCTGCAGAGACTTCTTGGTCTCATGGAGCTCGGATTTGGCATCTGAAAGATGAGCCTTCAGTTCCTGCACCTGACTGCATAGGTTCTGGCGTTCCACGAGCATTTCCTCATGAGACTTTTTATGGTGCTGCTCTTTCTCTTCAAGCTCAGCCTTTTCCTCGGCTATGCGGTCCCTTTCACTGCCCATGTGATCCATTTCTTTCTTCAACTCTGCACTTGTGGCCTTAAGAGTGCTGCACATCATTTCAGCTTGATCATATTTAGAACTCATCTCAGTGAATTGTTCCACTGTAATCTTCAGTTGCTGGGACTTCTTTTCCACTTCAGATGTTATTTCCTCAACCTCTCTTTGCAGTTGTGTTTTATGGTTCTCCAACTCTGCTAATTTTAGTTTTAAGTCATGACCCTCGTTATCAGCCTTGTGTTGCAGACTCTTCAATTGTTCTAAAAGATTCTTCACTTGATCTTCAAGCTTTCCAATGACCACTCCCGACTTGTCCTTTTCCTCCAAAACTACTGTGAGCTGCTGCTTTAACTCTGTTAATTCTTTAGCCTGATTGTCATACTGCTGCTGTGCATGTGCCTTCTGGGATTTCAACTCCTCAAGCTGAGACATCATGGCCTGGATCTCTTCATTCTTATTTTCCAGGTCAAATATGGTTTCGTTCATTTTGCACTTGGCTTCATCTCTTTCCCCTTCCATGCTGGCCATTTTCTGCTTCATTTCTTCTATCAAGTCCTTTGACTTTTGATCTTGAGTTTTGATCTGTTCTTCAGTTTCAGATACCTTTTTCTCCATAGACTGGATCTGGTCCTGAACATTAAAACAAAACATTTTTTTTATTTTCAGTTTATCATATTCAGACAAAAATGTGCTACTTGTATCATAGTGAATTTTCAAAAACATTTAGATGATTCCAACACTGTAAATTCTCAGGTTTAACAAAAAATGTTAATAAAATTATAGCTTTTCAAAAGAAAAAGATGTTAATCTTGCTAATAATCAGACACTTTGTATTTATTCAGTAGTCAACATTAATACTAAAAAAAAAAAAACATAAAATTTGGGCATGCCAGAAAAACAACAATTTAAGAGTCTACATTTAGGTGGCACATACTTACTTTTAATTCACCTATCTTCTTTTCCATTTGCTCTCTTACAGATTCCTTTTCCCTTCCAGCCTCCTGTACTTTTCTCTCCAATTCTTGGATCTGAGCTTTGAGAGTGCCCATCTCCTTTTCATGAGCAGACTTGAGGTTTTCTGAGTTGGTGCTAAGTTCACCTGTCATTTTTTCAAGCTTAGCCTAAAAGTAAAGCATAAATTTACTAAAATTAATGTTTAACCAATTACATTTTCAATTCATCAGAAAAACATATTTAGCTATAGGAGTAAATAAGTTTATAATAAGGCAAAAAAAAAGTCAACCACTATTACATGAATCCCTCCAATCAAGCAAACTAATAAGCAGGTACATTGTATTTCAGTATCTTAAGTCTAAGCGGTCACCTTCAAGGCTTCAGTGTCCAAGTCCTTCTCCATCATTTTGGCCCTCAAGTCACTGTTTACAGTATCGGAATTTTGAAGCTTCTCTTTCAGCTGTTTAAGTTCTTTTTCCAAGCTGCCAACTTTTGACTGAGATTCTGAGAGTTGCTTGTTCAGGGACTCCTGGAGTATAACACGTAATACATATTAATATCCTGAGAGGTTGCTTGAGGTACCTATCGCACCTTAATACAAAATCTGCTATTTATATATTAAAGAATAATATGATTTTTTTTCTTATAACTTGAACAAAAAAGTCAACAAATTAAATCAATTGCCAGTTTCAACTGGTTCACCGTTTCCATGCAACTAGCCTATGACCTAAATGAAACAATACCTTCTCCTCTTTAGTGCCATCCATCTTCTTCACTGATTCTGTGAGTTGCTTATTTTTTTGATCAAGCAGGGTCACCTTAACAGAAAAACAAAACACTTAAATTTTTTTTACAAGTTCCAAAAAATAATGGCCAATATCATGGTTTAGCATTAAATAATCACATAAGTGATTTCATCTCAAAACAATGAATCACCAGCGTCTCACCTTGTGATTAGCCTCATCAAGCTGAATCTTCAGTTTGGCCATTTCATCTTTGCACTGCGCCACCATTTTCTCCTTCTCCATCAGTGCCGTCAGGCTGGCATCCTGTTCGGACTGCAACTCTCTCATCTTGCCATTAAGACTGGAAATCTCCTTGGCCTTCGCCTGGATCTGCATCTCCAGATTGGCATTTCCAGTCTTCACAGCTGAAAGAGCAGCCAAGAGCAATTTCCCATTACAGCCATGTCCATACACATGGGCAGATGCATTTTTAAGGGAATAGGCCTGCAGAAGTCACTTTCTTATCACTCCAAATTAAAGCAATAATAACTCTTTGTTTCGGCCAAAAAATGAATTTTCCTGGAGTAAACAACAATTTTCCCATACTTACCAATGGTTAATGAATCCATTTTTACATTCAAAGTTAGTCCCTGGTTTTTTTCTAAAAAGTTTGGTTTTTTGTTAAAATCTCTTAAGAGATTTTAACAGAGTATAGACATCAATGGAGGTCACGTGGTCTAAAGACAAGTTCAAATATCAGAACAAAAGCTATAACTGCTGTTTTCTTGGTAAAACAGAATATATTATATTTCTATGAGTTATTCACAAGGTTTTTATTGTGAAATATAGATCTCATACAAAGAGTTATTATCCCTTTAAGTTATCAAGTTGAGTAAAACAAATAATTATTGATACACCAATTGCAAGAAATGCTTTAAAAAATTTGCGAATCGAAATACAAACCTTCATTTTCTTTCTTCAAGCGATCGATCATTTTCTCCATCTTATCCAGCTGCACATCACTAATACCAGTCTGCTCTTTCAACATGGACTCCATCTGCCTAGTAGCATTCTTGCTTGCCTCCTGCTGATTCTCTACACGCACACTGAGGAGATCCTTTTCACTTCTTACCTTCTGCAGCTCATCTGAATCTTTCTGAACCTTGAAACAGAATGTTAATCTTTTCAATGAATTAAGCTTAATATACTTAATCAATCACATTTAAGATACAGAGATATATCAATGCCTTAAAAAGGAATATTTTTTAAGTTTAAATCTAGAACAAAAATGTTCTAGAGTATCAAAAATCATTAAAAATGATGACATAAAATTGGATAATAATGCACATATAATTCTTTGCTTTGTCTATATCAATAAAGGGAACTCTGTTTACCTTATCTTGTAGAACTTTGAATTCTACAACCATTTTGTTGTGTTCCTCCAACTCCTTGGCTCTAAGGCTCTCAACTTCACTTAGTTTTCTTTTCAGCTCACTGGTTTCATCCTGGGTACCTAATAGTAGCAGTTGTAATTTTAAATATCAACCATTTTTAAACTCGACTTGATTTTAAGATAACCCTAGATTGAACACATACTTCATTACAATTAACTACAAGTCTATCGCTAAGCACATAAATGTACTCACAACTGGCACAAATGTTAACATAGACTATATATCAGCGTGTGCACATTTTTGCAGAGTTTTAGTTTAAAGTAAACTTATTCAAACGAGTGTTTCTTAAAAAGTGTACCTGGTGTTCCAGAAGGCTGTCTTGACTTCTGTTCATGTCCCTTTCTATCTAAATTTCCTTGCAATTGTTTCACTTCTTGCTGCAGACCCTTGATCTTCTCACTCTGTCCTTCAATTTGCCTGGATTGGTGAGTGCCATTCTCCTGCAGCCTGTTGTAATCCCCTGTTAATTTCTCAAGTTTTTTCACGGCTTCCAAGTGCTCAGCCTGTGCTTTTTCCAGTTCTGTTTTCAGCTGACCAGCCTATAGAAATTCACACGATGATATCTCAATTTATCATGAAAAAAAACTCAAAAGTTACATTTTGTCAGTAAAAAAATTTCAAATTTCATTTATCTAGCCATGTTTGAAATCCTAAATAATATTCTGAAAATTTTATGAAGCCATACAGTACATGAAATATATGGAAATATTTGTTACTTGTCAATTTTTATTTTTAGCAAATATACATTAACTTGGCAAAATGAACTGCAATTTGATCAAATAAGTATATACAGATTTCCCTTACTCATGCAAGACACCATTGTAAGATTTTTTTTCTTTTTTTTTTTTGAAAAAGTACACAAAAACACAATAAAATTGCAAATCAATATTTCGGTCTTTGAAGTCCAGTGGACTTTTATGGATAAATTCTAACATAATACCTTGTTTGTTTCTTGTTCTAAAGACTGCTTTGCATGGGCTAACTGTCCTTCCAAACAGGAAATGTGAGTGTCCTTGTTCTGCAATTCATGTTGCAACTTCTCACGCTTTTTCTCAAGTTCTTCACAAGTCTCTGCCAAGCTCTGGTTTTCACGTTTCAGAGAACCACACAGAGACTTCTCCTCTTCTGCTTTGCGCTTTTGTTTTTCAAGTGCCTATGCAAGAGAACCAAAAGAATATTATTATAATTCCAATACAATTATATTTTAAATGTGTACAACAAACGAAAAATGATGTATTAGAAAAGTATTAATTGAACTTTGGAAAATAACCCCAGTGCAGCAATAAGCTCAAGATTTTAGTTCTTTTAGTATAGGAATGGATTACCTGTTCCAAGCTGTCAAGCTGAAACTGCCTTTGTTGACGTTCCTTCTTAAGTCTTTCTAACTGATTTTCTAACTCCTCAACCTTTAGCAGTGCCTTGTGAGGCAAATCTGCCTTCCATTCATTGGCTGCCCAGCTCATGCTTGAAGTGTCCACCTAGAAATATGTTATACAATCAGAGATAACAGTACGGCTTTTTTCATAAACTAAAAATGTCTATGTCATGCGAAACACAAATAGATGCAAATGCTGAAATAGGTAAAATATCAAAAAAAAAAAAAAATCTGACCTATTCCATATTTTCATTTGCAAGAACATTAGAATCATGTACTTCTGACCAAATTAGAACCAATCTCTAGATATGCACTGTAATTCAAAGCATGAAAATCCATAGACTATATTAGAACTCCCATTAATGTTTCTTTTTTATATATGCAATAATGATATTCTATAATGATTAAGGCCTCAAATATTTTTATCTGCATCTGTGGGGATGGTAGATGAATACAATTTTGCAGTTATCAAAACCCCTATATAGTACATGTGTAAACACAGCTGGCATATATAAGAAAAGAACAAGAAGGTGTCTTTTTGCATGAATTTTCCTGCTACTTGCTATGTTATACAGTACAGAGACAGTCCTTATTAAGGTGCAGTGATATTCCCCTCACCCTGTAACTACAAAATCTTTAATGTTTATTAAGATTAAGCTATGTGGTGACTTTTACCAAAGCCTTTCAGAGACTGATATTGAATAAATAGTTTGAAATTTTACTTTGTAATTCTTTATATTTTTTATTTGACTCTCAATTATATGAATTCCAAAATTTATTTATTGATAGGAACAACATGAACAAAGTCACCTCTACATTCGATTTAGCAAAGATATTGAAAATAAGAGTTATACAAAAGGGGAAAAACTCTACACATGTGCTAAAAATCCCCAAAATGCATCTTTAAGTCTTATGCTCTTTAATTATCTTAGCAGGCCTTGAACTACTAAAGACTTACTTTTCGGGTAGACCTATTTGGGAAACATTGAATCAATGATTGATCTATTCTAGCTATGTATTTCAATAAAATGATTTTACATTTGGTGAGATGTTTCGATAGTTCCGTCAAAATAAAATTTCCGTTAATTAGCACATGTGTACATATACATGAAGATTATCTAACCTTTTAACCTGTACTTACATGGTAAACATCAATCAAACAGTAGTTTCACCAAGTCGAATTTCGCACCGAGACGGTTTAAAGAGCACGCATGCGTATGTGGACATGGCGGTAACATTTCATTGGATGTTTTGATGCAGTAGAAAATAAAGAATAAGGTAGAAAATGTATGAGACTTTAAATAACGATGATATATGTTACTGTTCTCTTAAGAAATATCACATGAATATTAAAAAGCTTTTTGCTATTGAGATATCAACTCAATGTAGATAAATCTTTTAAACACGATGACTAATTGCTAACTTTACGACAGTCATTGAAGAGTACTTGCTATCAACGACCATTTCGATAGGTCAGCATTCTTGACCTACATACGTCATCGAATACTGGAATCCCCTCCTAATTTTCGGTGAGTAAATCCAACATTTATTGTACTTTATAACAACCGGAAGCACGTGAGTTATTCAATAGATGACTGAGTAAGTAAATAGAACATATTTGTCATATCTAGATTGGAATCCCGACAAGTGGTTGAACTTAGAGGTGAAGGATTTTACAGCTCGCAAGAACCAAGTACCACTAAACCGTCGAGTATTGTTCAGCAAGCCAAGCACTGCAGCTGTGGTTTTCCAAATTCTAATTCTGCTTGACAGTCTGCCTGGTAATCGTTTTAATATTTAAAGTTAATTTCGATAAGGTTAACATTTCTAATACATTTGCTGATGGCTGCTTCTAAGTTTTAACACAATAAGCATTATTATTATTATGAAATATTGAAGCATCGATTTATAAACGACTCCAAACTGAAGTTTAAGCCAAGCCCACACTGACCACGGGCACATTCATCTGTAACTGTGTCACCTTAATCAGTTGATATGAACAAATCCAGCCCATACAACCTGGAGAGTCAAAATGGAGTGAAATCATCAGTAAGATGTTGCTCAGACCAAGTCTGTCTTTACTAGAAGATCCAGGTTACAGCAATGTTTTCATTTGTTCAGATGCGAGCCAATAGTTCATTACAGCAGGCAAAATTAATTGCTCTTGCCTTGGGAACATGGCAACAGCTTGAAGAAGGGTTGTGCTGTAGAGATCATTAAAACATACCAATTCGATGTAAAAAAGAATGTTCCTGTGGCATTTCAGAAAGCCTAGTTTATGATTGCAAATCCAGTTGGGTCAAGTAATTGTCAAGTTTTCAGGACAGAAGCAGGTTATAGTCTGTGGTGTAAAACCCAGAGTCCCAGGATTAAATGAAAAACCAGAAGAGTGTTAATAAACTATATAGGAATATTTTGTGTATTTTATCAAAATTCAGAAATATTGCTTATGATATATATATACTGGCAAAGATACAGTATTTCTGAAATATGCTGTAATTAGTATGTTTAAATTATTAAGTACTGAAATATTGCATGAACTGCCAAGTTCATGTGCCTGATCACTGCTTTCAGTGCTAGATATGCATGACAAATTATCAGATTATTAGAAATCACTGTTTTGAGTTGAAATATTGTGATGATTCCTAAAAATTCTTGGATATGATAGTCTTTACTGGTAGTTTAGCTAAAATGCATACAGATCAAAAGCATAAACATCATTATTATATAATTTCTGTTTTGATACCTTCTGATTTTAAGTATCAGAGGTACACGGATTATATTTCTTATCATCAGTATGGTTATATTTCAGTGGTTTTGCTATATTAGGTTAAATTCATAAATACTCAAGTGATAAATTATCATTTTGATAAATAGAGATATCACAATATGAAGGCCAATGCTTTGAACACAAATGAGGAAATACATGAGGAAATCCCCTGTTAGCCGGGCTCATCAATTTTCTGACTTAGGCTGAATAGTGGTAATTTACTAGTAAGAGACTTGTGCAGTGCAGACTAGTGAAAAATTGCTTGGGTTTCTATTCCTGAAGTGTCTGAGTTACAGGAACACCCTGGTAAATGTGTTCTGTCTGGTCTAGTCCTTGGTACAGGTGAAGCACAGTGAATGTCTAGACATTTAAACTGCTGACAAGTCATACTCTTCAACTCATTCAGAATTATGCTGAAGACTTCCTTGCAGAAAGAAAAAAAAAGACCCTCTGCTCTTTGCTGAATATTCCAAAATTCTAAACCTCTTCTGGTTTAACATTGCTATTACAGATGAAATCACTTAACCCTTTCCTCTGTATTCATGTTATTATATGCTAATCCAGAATAACAACTTCCTAATTAACACATCTGATTGATAATTGAGGAACTGCATGATATAATTACCCTGTGTTATTGTTGTGTTGTTTGGACTGAGTTAGGAAAGATATTTTGGTTGGTAATTGAATCTTAACTGTTGCTGAACATGTCATGTTATTGCCATTTTATTCCAAAATGTTATATATATTAACTTTTCTTTAAACTGAGTTTGTTGTGGGATATTGAGTAGCAAAATTGTTTTACATTTACTTCAAGTTACTTTTTTGTAAGGAGTTCTTCTAATGGATCAGGTGGACTGATGAGTGATTTCAGTGACGTAGGTATTATAATTTGATCATTTTTATGGTAAGGGACGAAATATATAAACCTTGTTCTTTTATTTTCAGACTGCAGTGAAATATCTTTGCTTCTACATATTTTAGAGCAATCAACACAGCACTGGATCAGGAACATACCAATCCTAACAATGTGGGATTGACCTAAGTGCTTGTAAGAATTCCCTCTACAGAGGTCACCTCCCATAACTGCTGTTTTTAATCATAAGATGTCATTTTATATGATGGGAACTCCATTGTTCAACAACTGAAATGGTTTTTGGCTGGCTTCTCATTAAAACTCTGAGTTCAAGAAATCAGGATGCCATTTAAATGGACGTTAAAGAAGACTAAGAGATACAACGTCTCTTCCAAAAACCAATTTGTGGTCAGCGTACAATTGCTGGACAACACGCTGATTGAATGTACTCTCACTCCGGAGAGCCTGGCCCAAGAATGTCTGCAGAGCATTGCACAGAGGATCGAACTTACAGAAGGAGTAAGTAAACATATAGTTTATTCTTTGTAACATATCCATCCACCTGGGTGGATGAAAATGACACTGTAAATGTAATATTAAATGAGTGTGCTATTAACAAATTACAATGTGTATGACTACTAACTTACTAAAGACAATGGTTTAAGCCAAGTTACTATTACTATGTACTACTCAATTGTGGATAGGTGCAGCACTGTCTTCTAGATCCCTTCTAGCAAAAGCAGAGTATGAGTTGTTTTCCCACCAGCTTTATTACTTCAACTGGGGAGATATCATAACAACTGTTTTCTGAACAAACTTTGATCTGTGCTGTGCAGGGTTCTTTCATTCCCTCAGTGCTTATGATGGCATTGGCAAACTCTACCCAAGCATACCTTTATAAAGAGAGGCTTATTTTTGTTGAAGGCAACTTTTGATTTCAGTGATATTTTTGAGTCATCATTTTCTGACTGGGGGAAAAATAAGAAAATGCAATGATTTATGAATGCTTTTTAAGTTCACCACGGTTTTGGCCTGTGAAGAAGCCATGACTTTGAAAACAATTTCCTTTTTGCTAACCCAGTCTGATTTATTTCAATTATTTTTAGCTTTAGACTAATATTCTGTATTTTCATATGTTTATGCTTGTAATACCTTTCGGGGAAAGATTTAAATTCATTCAAACAAAATAATGATATTAATAATTAAATATTTACTTTTATCAAACTTTTTAGTATTAAACAATATGTATGTATTTTCACATTTCTTGACCAAAAATATGACATTCATATATTGTACACTCTTCTATTAATCATGTTTATTTTCACACAATTTACTTGGTTTTCAAATAAGACTGATAACATATTTGCTGTAACCTTAGTTCACTTTATCAGATAGCAGGTGATTATATAGATATATAAAAATGTGATAAGTACAGCTGCTATGCTTTTGGTATTTGGTTTCACTGACACTAGCAGTAAACTAAGAGCACACCCATCTAGATTCAGTTGGAATTTGATTTCCCAAGTAATACTAATGTGATTAGGGAAAAGGGGCATGGGTAGGGTTTCTTGGAAATGATTTAATTAGTCACTTGTATTCTTCTGAGTGCATTTAATTTATACAATATTGCTAGGTAGATTTGAAATGTATTGTGGGTAATGGAATTATAGCAGATGAATGCATTATAAGCCAAATGCATTGTCCATGAAAATAAGGCTATTAATTAATACAGATTATTGTAGTCAGTTTGATGAGATTATTGGGAACTTTAAAGAAAAAATTTCATACATTTTGAAGATTTGTCTTTAGACGTATTGCCTGTCAGTTATATGTCATCTTTGGACTAGTAAAAAGACACAGTAAGCCTAGAAATAGTTTTAAAATTTGCCATATATACATTAGCATTTTTGTGTTTGGAACTGAATTATAACCTCTCAGCACTGTCTTGCTACAGTGCAGGATTATTTTCCAAACCATGTCATATGAGACCAGTATTTATAACATCCCCAGCTAATGCTGTGTTAGAAAATAATACCTGCATTGCACATGTCTAAACAACCCAGACAATTTTTTTGTAACTAATGAAACCAATAAACTTGCCAAAGCTTTCACATTTATCACTGTGCATTTAAATAGTGGCACTGTCTTCATTATTATGTCACTCTCCTGTCTGGAAATATGGTTTTCTTTGTAAATTAAAGGAAAATGATTCAGAACACCACTTCAAACTAACTATCACCTTTATCACTGGACAATAAAATTTGTAAGGACAACAGTATTATTTATGGGCTTTACTCAGGTGTAAAATGTGTTACCTCATTTAGGCCATTAAATTTCATGATCATATGAAAATGGATTAGGCTTGTACATGGGTATCATGTGGCATTTGCTGTGATGCTAAAGTTAGTTATATAATATCTTATCTGATAATATCTTTATTATTTGAAATATTTCTCCAAACTAATCGGAGTATCCTATTGTAGGCTACTTGCTGTACAAAATGTGTTGTCAGCCTAGCCAAACTGGTATCAAAAGTAGGTGGAAAGCATCAACCAGGGCCCCAAAAAATCATCAGCCACATATCTTGTTTGCATATTAACGCCTACTAGAACATTTTTCCTCTGCCTCTCTA